GTCCTGCCTCAAATGATTGTCAGACATTGATGATCCTTCATGGATGGCCTCACCTCTGTGTGACTGTGGGGTAGGATGGGGGAGTTATTTGGGGGTATAGGAGGGAGAGGGTACTGGGATTGGTATGTAAAATAAGATTGAATTCAAACAAAAATTTACTTTTAAAAAAGGGAAAAAAGACATCTGACTATTGGATTAGAACCCACCATCATGACTTCATAAAATCTCAATTACCTTTTTCTACTTTTATTTTTATGTGTGTATGCATGTGTCTATTAACTGTATTCATAAGGCCTTTCTCCAATGAGTTGAGGTGAGTTAAGGTACCCGGAGTGTCCTGAAGACAGTATCAGATCCCCTGCAGCTAACATTTGAAGCAGTTGATGAAGGTGCTAGGAACAAAACCTGGTCTTCTGCAAGAGCTATACTTGCTCTCAACTGTTGAGACATGTTACTTACCTTATTAAAGGCCCTTGATATAAATAAATCCATGGGGGATTAGGGATTTAACTTTTTTCTGGTGCTGGCTATCAAACTTAGGACTTCATTCATATTATGGAACACTATCACTAGCCTCACCTCTGATAGTAACATGTATTTAGAAGGGGAACATTTTTTAATACTTTATTTTTTGATTTGAATTAGAAACAAGATTGTTTTACATGTCAATCCCAGTTCCCACTCCCCTTCCCTCCTGACCTACTACCCCCTCAACTAATACCCTACCTATCACATATCCTTTCTGCTCCCAGGGAGGCTAAAGCCTTCCATAGGGGGTCATCAGAGTCTATCATATCCTTCGGGATAGGGCCTAGGCCAACCCCCATGTGTCTTGGCTCAGGGAGTCTCCCTCTATGTGAAATGGGCTCCCAAAGTCCACACCTATGCTAGGGACAAATACTGAACTACTACAGGAGGTCCTGTAGATTTCCGGGGTCTCCTCACTGAAACCCACATTCCTGGGGTCTGGATCAGTCCCATGCTGGTATCCCAGCAATCAGTCTGGAGAGCAAGAGCTCTCTGTTCAGGTCAGCTGTTTCTGTGGGTTTTACTAGCCTTGTCTGGACCCCTGTGTGTATCACTCGTCCTTCTCTGCAACTGGATTCCAGTTGAGTTCAGTGATTAGTTATGGTTGTCTGCTTCTACTTCTACCAGCTGCTGGATGAAGGCTATACAAAGGCATATAAGTCAGTCATCAATCTCATTATCAGGGGAGGGCATTTAAGACAGCCTCTCCTCTGTTTCTTAGATTGTTAGCTGGTGTCATCTTTGTAGATCTGACATTTCCCTAGTGCCTGATTTCTCTGTAAACCTAAAATGTCTCCCTCTATTATGATATCTCCATTCTTGTTTTCTTCTATTCTTCCCCCGACTCAACTTTCTGCTCCCTCATGTCCTCCTCACTCCACCTCTTCTCCCCTTCTCATTCTCCTAGCTCCCTCCCCTCTCCCCCCTCTTCCCATGCTCCCAGTTTGTTCAGGAGATCTTGTCCCTTTCCCCTTCTCCAGGGTACAATGTATGTCTCTCTTGGGGTCCTCCTTCTTTACTAGCTTCTCGGCAGTGTGGATTGTAGGCTGGTATTCCTTTACTTTATGTCTAAAATCCACATATGAGTGAGTACACAATTTAGTCACAGCAACCCTATCTTTATCACTGAACAACCTTTAGACCTCTGTGTGCACTCTAGTGTCTTCTGTGAATGTCGTTGAGTTCCTACACTCACTTCACAGAAAGGCCTTCCTCCAGTGTGAACTCTTTCATGTTTAATAAACTAGAGTGGTAGCTAAAGAGTATCTTACATTCACTGTATTCACAAGGCCTTTCTCCCATGTGACTTCTCCAAAGACTTCCCACATTCGGTACACTCATAAGGCCTATCTTGAGTGTGGATCCTTTCATTGGTAATAAGAACGGATTTGTTGTTAAATAAGTTTTCACATTTATCACACTCATGAGATCTTACACCATTGTGAATGGTGTGAGAAAAGATGAGACCTCTATGTGAAGAATTTCCCACATCCGTTACATTCATAAGGTCATTTTCTAATAGGAACTATCTGGTGTGTAATAAGTGACCATTTTTCCAAACATTAAGTGGAGCCCAGGGAATTCTATGGAAGAAAGAGAGGAAGGAGCTAGAAAGATCAAAGACACCATAAGAACATGGCCTATAGAATATAGACCAGTGCTCATAGGGGCCCACAGAGACTGAAGCGACAATCAGGAAACCTGTGTGGGTCTGACCTTGGTCCTTTGTAAATATGTTATGGTTATTAGTTTGGGGATTTTATGGGACTTCTAACAGTAGGACTGTGGGGAATATCTCTGATATGTTTGGCTGCTTTGGGGAGCCTTTTCATCTTGGTCTTGATATAAGAGTATTCCCTAATCTTATTGTAACTTGTTATGACATGTTGGGTTGATATTTCTGAGAAACCTGCATTCCTGGGAAATGGAGGAAGAATGGATCCGGGGGTGAGGAGAGATTGTTGGAGGGATCAGGAGGAGAGGAGAGAGGAGAAATTTGTAGTGGAGTATAATATATGAGAGAAAAGAAGAAATAAAAATCAAAAAAGTAACAGTTTTGTACAAAGGATTTCCCACATTCTTACTACATTTGTAAGACCTTTCACCCATGTGAATTCTCTCTTAAAGAGGTCACACTTCCAACTAAGTAATTTTCCATATTCGTCACATTAATGAGGTCTTACTCCCATGTGAACTTCTTTGTGGGTAATAAAGCTAGGCCTTTGCCTAGGGGATTTGTTGCATTCTCCATATTCATGTGGCATTTCTGGTGTAGAAACTCTTGATTAACCACTGAGGCTAGAGATTTACTGTAAGGTTTCCTACATAGACTGCATCTCTCCCTGTTAATGACAGCAACATATTGGCCGCTGAACGTTTACATACTCTCCTCAGTTGTAATGACTCTTTCACAGTTGAAAAGGCCAGCACACTCTCAGATGTGTTGTTGTACTTCTTCCCTGTGAGAGTAAACTGTTGCCAGAAAAGTTCTGAGCTGAGGGGGAAGTCCTTCCCAGCCTCTCTGCTAGCAGATGACTTGTCAGACACCTGGAATCTGCAGCTGTTCAGCGATGAGCCCTTGTTCGCCTTGCTTCTGAAGTGCTTTTCTCAAATGTGCTGCCTTTGGTGTTGATGGAGATATGCACTGCACTGTCTCCCGAATGTTCCAGCAATGTGTAGTTCCAGCCCATGATGCTGGTTTTAGGCCAAGTACAAAATTTCTCTTGAGACTGAGCTACATGTCACACGAGGACGGCCTCATAGGAAGAACAGCCCTTGAGAGGTTAAAACTATGACACTCTGGGCAGAAATATTGTTTCCCCAAAAAAATAAAAATAAAAATTGGTATCTTCCACCTCTGTTCCATGCCAACAACATAAAAGGAAATGATAGTTAAGTGCCCCGTGAATTTTGTGGGGATTTAACCCACAGTAAAATGTATGACTGATAAACTCAAGAACTGAGTACATGGAGCTATTTACAGAATCGGGGATCTAGGTTCTGATTCAGGATGGAGTTGCTTGGAAATTTTTGATTTCTTTAAAAATAGAGCCATGGAATACAAAAACAGGAATGGGGTCTATAGTTTGTACTGGAACAATTGTCGTCTGGATATTGTCTTCTACTGACATATTCTGGGCCCAAGAAAATTTAACAACAGAACAGCTGCCCTTTAGGGGCTGTGTTTGTAGAGAGCAAAGGAAACAAAAGTCACAGGAAAGAGACTGCCTACAGAATTGGGAGCTGTGAGAAACCATGCTGCTACTTCTGGAAGTCTTCAAGACTCCGCATTGACCGGAAATTACAAACAGAATCCTCTACATCCCTCATCCACAGCTCCCAATTACCAGAAATCCGCTATTAACTATAGACTTTGTCATTTATCTGTTTTTATGTAAACAAAATCACACGATAGGTATCTGGTTTCTTACCCTCAGTACAATGTTTTCATTATGAGCACACATACATGGAGTATACACCAGACTTCACTCCTTTAATTGCTGGGGAAATATTCAATCATATGGATACATTGCAGTTTGTTCATCTATTTATCAGTTAATGAAACAACATTTTACTCTATAGCCCGGGCTGACATCAAACTCAGTTACTGTGACCACCTCCCAAGTGCTGGAACTCCAGGCATATGCTCTCATGCCTGGCTATATAATGCTGTTATAGATATGCTTGGTCATGTAGCAATTTGGCGTTTATAGGAATGCCTAGATTGTTTTCCAAAACAATTGCACTCAGGATGGCAAACAATGGGAACCAAACTGCTGCATTGTACTTAACAATGTACTTAAAATGTACTAACTAAAATGGACAATGTACAAATAAATGTACTTAAACACTAAGATACTTGGTGATGTTTTATTTGTTAATTGATTCTTCAGCATCAACTTTGTACATGACAATAATGTGTTGGAAGGTCAAAAGATTGGACCTATATGAGGTTTGCTTCTTCTGTCTTCCCACAGCTCTTGGCTACACACAGCTTGCTCCATATGTTAACTGGCTATATGGCTCCTCTCCTGCAGGCCAAGTTCCCTCATTGGAGCTGAGAACCAACAGAGATGGTCATGTCTAAATCTAATGGTATATTTATTAAGATATCTTCAATGTCTTCATATGTAAAATTGAGATAAATGACTGACCTGATAGGAATGTTACTTAGTAAGTTTTTTTAATGAAAATATTTTGCTATCACAGTCATGGGGAGTTCCCCCAAAGGACTAAGTTTTCTTTCTGGTCTGGAGCCAATGGACAAAACAATTTGTCTTCATTGTTAGTGAACTTGGACTGTTTTCTATATCCCAGTTAAGTTATAATTATTCAAGGACTATCACGGCTAAGAAAAGTTTCTGTATCATATGAATTTATTTTCTGGTATGTACCTCTCACATTTCTTTCTCTAGTATATTCTTCTGCAAGGTTCTCTGGAAGTAAGTCCTGTTCATATTATCAGTCATCTGTTATTCATGCAATTTGGTCTCCCCATTTTCATCCTCCATTTTGTCATGGCTCTCCACTTGTTCAGTGTAATCGGAACTCTCTGGTGTATTTTCCAGTATATTTTGCTCTTCATTCTTCTTCTTCTTCAAAATGTTTTCCCTTCTTTTTGTTCTAATAACTGAAATACAGAAATTGTATTCTTGAGGTTGGAGTAATTGGAGGATAGAAGTGAAGACAAAGGGGCGAGGGGGGAATCATGGGAAAAATAAAGGCATTTTCAGAGACTAAAGATGTTACTTATCTAATAGACAGTTCTTAAATTTTATTTTAGTTTGGGGTTTTTTTTGGGAAACAAGATCTTGCAATGCATCCCAGGCTGGCATTGAATTCACCATCCTACTGTGATTTCCCAAGTGCTGGAATTCCAGGTGTGAGCTCCACCACCCTCGGCTGAAATTTGAATTTTAAAATTATTACATTCTGTGTTCAAGCCTTTCAAATACGCAATAATAACCCAATGAAACAAAAGGACATTGGAAAATATTTCCTGTGGGTTACAAAGGCTGTCAGCCTCAGTAGTCATCAATCATCCCTTCCGCTCTTAGACTCTGTCTCTTTCCGGTTGGGTACATCTAGCATTATTTAAAAATGAAATGGAAGATGTTCTTGCATTTGGACCAGACACCAAACTTTACATGTTGAACCTGAAAGCTTTTACAAAATCAAGCTTATGAAGTATTTATGTCATCCTGTCTTCACAAAGACACATAGGAACCTATCATATGCCTGTCTCTCAGATAGGGTCCTTCCAATGAGAGAAGTGACTTCTGTAGTATGGACCTGGAACCCATTTCTATACCAGCCTGAGGCAAATGGAGTGTCCGAATGTAGATGTTATAAATTCAGGATTAATGCCCCAATAATAAGTATGTACAAGGGGAAATTTACATTCACAACAAAGTTTTTTTTTTCCTGAACTCTGACTTGGAATCTTGGATTTGGGCCACATTGAAAATCAAGCAACTGGTGGGCTGGGGAGATGGCTCAGAGGTTAAGAGCACTGACTACTCTTCCAGAGGTCCTGAGTTCAATTCCAAGCAACCACATGGTGGCTCACAACCATCCCTTATGAGATCTGGTGCCCTCTTCTGTTGTGCAGATATACATGGAAGCAGAATACTGTATACATAATAAATAAATAAAATCTAAAAAAAAAAGTGGCCTGGCTACCAAAGAAAAGAAAAGAAAATCAAGCAACTGGACAACTACCCACTGATCCCTGGGGTTCCATGAGAATGGTTCATTTCCACAAAAGCATCCATCTTTCTTAGCTCAGATTATTTGATCCCAGTTACATTTTGGGAGGAGGGGAAAACCAAGACACCATTCCCAGCCTTAGATCTGACAGGGCAAAGCACCTGAGCCAATGAACTTGCCCAGGTCCTCATTCTCTGAGTGTGGTTCAGAAGACTCATCCTGGCCTTCCTCTTCAGAGGCCTCCTTTTCATGTAAAATTGGAATCTCCACATTCTCATACAACAGTGCAAGCTGCTGTTTTTCCTCTGCTTTCACCAGCCTACTGGAAAAGGATAGAGACGAATGTGAGGGCAGTTTTTTTTTTTTAACAGTGAATCATCCTGTTTTATACTTTGGGTTTTTGAGTTTTATTTAAATATATGTGTATATGGTGGGGGAATGTGGTGGCAGGTGCCTGTGAAGACCTGGGAGAACAACGTCAGAGTCCCTGGATCTGGAGTCACAAGAAGTTGTGAGCCACCCAACCTGGATGCTGGAAACTAAACTCCAGTCCTCTGCAAGGGCCTAGAATGTTCTTAACCCTGAGTCATGACTCCGGCCAAGATCATAGAATTTTTTTTGACTCTAGAGGAATTGCTTATTCATGATGGTAGACGGAGAACAGAGGCAGCATATACATTACATGAGACTTCAGATTTCTGATCTGACCCAGCTGATTTGTGACAACAAATAGTTGTGCATCCCAAACTTCTTAACTAAAGCGGGATTGGATGGGAGTGACATACTTAGACTAGATATAAAATTCAGGGAATTTATGACAGAAACCAATATTGATGCGATATGCTACAAAGGAAAATTAATGCCAAGAAAACCACAATAAACAAAATATCAAGATTTTAAATACATTTAGGCTATTACTAAGAGTTCCTTTTACAGAGCCTCTAATATCCTAGCTTTGCCATGCACAGATCCTGTACTTAACTGGAGCTGAGGACACAGGTTGGGGAGCAAACAGCTTGTCACACAAGCTGTTTCAATCCCCGGTAACCACAAAGTCAAGTGCAATGGTGCACACTTGTAACCCAACACTAGGCAGGCATAGACAGGCATATTAATGCAGCTCATTGGCCACCCATCTAACCCATCTAACCTAATGGGTGAGCTCTAGTTGCCAGAGATCTCAAAAGAACAAGATGGATGGCACCTGAGGAATGACACCCAAAGTAGACCCTGGCCTCCAGCTATGCACAGCAACAACTCACTCACACAGAAAGATGTCATTTTGTAAATTGGGGCTATTGTGGTATTGACATTTTATCATACTACATTAAAATAGCATTCATCCTTGTGGTTTCAATGAGAAATCGTCCCCACAGTCTCATAGGGAGTGGCACTATTAGGAGGTGTGTCCTTGTTAGAGGAAGTATATAGGGGCGGTGGTCGGTAAGGGGGCTTTGAGCTTTGAGCAACAGAAACACTAAGATAGAAGTGGGTATCAGTGACTGGAGTATTGCTGTGATAGGCCACACCATGTTTTTGTTTGGAGGAATGTGGGTTTGGGGACTTTGGCTTAGGAATGCTTTAAGCATGGCTTATTGGGCCATAGTAGTAAAAAACATGATAGACAGTGATGCTAAAGTTTATTTGAACTTCAGGGGCCAACTCAAGAGTTTTCAGGGAGTGGAATGTGGTCGTTTGGATGCAAAACAAAACATAGGGAGTGGCACTATTAGAAGGTGTGGCCTTGTTGGAAAAAGTGTGTCACTTCCAGTGGGGCTTTGAGGTTTCAAGTACTCATGCCAGGCCCAGTGTTGCTCTCTATTACTGTTGCCTGCAGGATCCAGATTTTGAATGCTCAGCTACCTCTCCAGCACCATTTCTGCCTACATGCTGCCATGATTCCCAACCATAACAATAATGGACTAAACCTCTGAACTGTAAGCCAACCCCAATTAAATACTTTCCTTTATAAGAGTCGTCATGGCCATGGTGTCTCTTCACAGCAATGGAAGCCCTAAGACAATCCTGATGAGTGAATTTTTTTTCAGAAGGGAAAGTCCTTTAATCAAAACTGTAAAACAGAACAGTTTCTGGCTGCAGTTAAAAGCAAACTCTAAAATGTTAAGAGTCAGCTCTCCAGTCCTTTGATTCTTGCCTCTTTCCCATAAGAATGACACTACACAGTTTTTCAATTAAGCAGTTTGATGATCCAAAGAAACCCACAGTGCATGATTTAATGAGTGTATACTGTGTGCCTGGTAATCGGCAGGCTGACAGTTCACTCATTGCAAAGTGACAAGAGGTCACTGCACATTAACAAAGGTTTGGGGGTCTCTCTTCATTAAAAAAGCTTTACAGTTGAGGAACAACAAACTGTATTGGCAAAGCTGTCACTGAAGGTCCCTGGTGACCTTAACTTTCTGTCACTCTCCAAGTCTTCAAGTCTGTATGATGAAATTCCTTTTTAAAGCCATAGAACAAACACAAAATATAGACGTTGAAGGCTCTCAGTTGTCGGGGTTATGTGGCATGTTTCGATACCAATTCCATCAGTGATTTCACAGTGAAAGAATTGCGACCCGGGATATGTAGGTTCTTCATGATGACTATGAAAGTGAATTATTCTTGGAAATTGTGCACATTATTGGTGACATTAGTCACTATTTTAGAAGGAAGTTAGTATGCTGGAAATATGCACATTTTTTATGACAGACATTCACACACAGCCTTGGTGAAATTCTATCAGCTCACTGGAGCTCAAGTATGTACCACAGATCCCAGTTATCATTTATATGTCTGCAACCAGAAGTGATTTTAATGATCACATAATAAACTCCTGACAAGTTTTAAGCTTTTTGATAGTAAGAATTTGAAACTTGCTATTCATGCCTTTGATCTGCCTTCCAGAAAACTTAGTGAATTCTCAGGTTCAGTTTGCAACCTCAATGACTTTGTAATAGGAGATATGTTTCCGGCTTTACTAGAAGTACGTTAGTAACTTTATTGAAAGTTGGCTATACACTATACATAGAGCAAACTTGTCACTTATATGGTAAGGGAGCTATGGCAAAAATCTGTCTCACTTGGTCCAGGCAAGGGCTCTTCAAACAGAATCTGAAAATGATACAGAACCATCTCTTACAGACTGTGGAATTATGATTTATTGCTTAGGTCACACACAGTGTAGAAGAAAAGTGTAGGGGAAGCTGTAGCCATGCCTACTTAGGGGCTGGCTACAGGTGCGCCTGACCACGCTTGTGAGGACGTGGTCAGAGAGACGTAGTGTGACTTCGTTTGTACTTTCAGTTTCACTTTGCTTCTTGCGGTACAGACCGCTACCACGCCGGCTGGCTAGGTCGCTCTGTAAGTAAGGCTTTTCCCTATTAAATACCCTTATATTTCTACCTGACTCCGTATTGGTAATTTCCAACTATAGAAAAGTGCATCTTTTATTTAAAAGAATCACATCTGGGAGTGTCAATGTCTTTATTGGAAATATAGAACAATAAAATTATCCTTAGATTGTTGTGATGGTTCTATGAGAATATTTCCCAAGTCAATCAGGGTAGCATCTTGTGCTTAGCCTCACAGAAAATTCTGCATGCTCACAGCTTCAGATACAAGTGCAGCACAGCTTGCCAGAAGTAAAACCCAGTGGAGAGATTTCACATATCACTTTGAAACTTGTACCCCACCAAAGCTCCCTGGCTGGACAGGGACCCACCCCAATTAGCTTTCCGTCTTGTCACAGAGGAGGGAAATCTAGGAAATATTCCCACAGTATTTCATTGTTATTCTAAACATGTGGAGATACACAGATGCATCAAAATGTGTATGTGATTTTCAGGCTCATATCTCAGTGTTCAGTTCATCTAGACCTGGGCCATTGCCACAGGTCTCTCTCTTTATGAAATAGCAAGCTTCCTCGTGTTTCCTAGCCATTGGCCCCAGCTAGAGTATGGCCAAAGATGCCACTAAGATGTTTCTCTGTCTTCTGGAGAGTCTGTTGAAGGGTATTTTAGTTCTATGTGTTTGTACTCTGGTAAAAAACAATCATAGAAGGAGGATGTGACGCAGTGGGGGAAGCTTTGCAAGCAAATATAGACATGAACATTGATTCCCATCAGTTTTGTGACTTTGGGCAATACACTGAGCCTCTCTGAGCCACAAAGTCCTCCACTGTAATGGGGGAAATACAGAGAATTTACAGAGCTATTGTCAGCAGGGCTTTTTCAAAAGATTTAAACAAGGAATATAGTAGGGGCGCCAGCTGGAATGGACCTAACATTTAATTTATTTAAATAGGAGCACTGTGGTATCCATCTTGACCCTACGTTGTGGAACATGGTCAAACCCATGATGCATTGCATGAAGCAAACAGCTATGGAAAATATTGTGAAGAACGATATAAGCTGTTGGTTACCCTGAGGTCAGTATACCCTCCAATGGCTTTGCTTTCTGCACCTGTGCTGACTTTAATTAGTCTGGTTAGTCCTTAACTGATGAGCCACATATGTCTTTTGACTGCAGTTGAGTCCTCCAAGAAACCCACACTTAGAAAAACACAAACAGATTTCACTTGGAATTTTATTAGGTACATATTTACTGATAACTGTTATGTCTTCTTAATCCAATAACCCGGTTGTTATTACAAAATACCTTCTCTCTGATAATCCATTTGTCCTAGAGTTTCCATTGTCTGATATTTAGCAAGGCACTCTACACGTCTTATACCGTTTCTACAGCATTCCTTTTCCTACCAGTTCCCTTTGAGCCTACGAGCATGTTTATATTTAAAGGTTATTTCTCAATACAGTATTGTTCAGGATTTTTAAGTATATTGTGATCTCTCTGTCTTTTAACTAAAATGCCTGGGGTCTAGTAAAAATAAAAAGGTCAGTGCATACAGTTAGTGGAACATTTTCACTAATCTGTTTTGTTTGAGTGATGAGTGAATTTTTAACCACTCCCTTAAAACTTATAGCTGAAGTATTGTTTCCCAACCTCTTGCCACTGTCAGTCCAGTTCTGAAAGTAGAAATGGATGGCAGTGTTTTACTTTCTCCTAACATATGTATCTGCCTAGCTCTATGTGTCTTGGGTAACAAAAAATACTTTGTGGATTAGCTTAATTGTATTCTGCAGAGCAGTAATGAAGGAAAATCGGGGGAATCATCCTAGAAATAGGCTGTAAGATGGCAAAACACTATTCTCACAAAAGAATTAAATGTAGTAAAGATGTTGATGTCTGCTGACATCTCTGTGTTAGTCCTGCTCCACCCACCTGGATAGTGAGTAGCTCAGACCCACCTGCACCCACCCT